ATGTCGTCATTTTTCCCCAACAGAAAAGAAAATAATTCTAACAAGTGAAATTCAAATACTTAGGAATAACAATAAAATACAACCATCAAGAAAATATCTAAATCTGATTATTTCAAAATATTTTAACCATATTTTGTATTAATTAATTTTTAGGCTAATACCTACATTTTGAATATGATATGATTTAAACAAGGCATTAAGAAGACCTAAAAAGTGAAGAATAAACTTGAAAAATTCATTAAGGTAAAAAAGTTATGGTTCTCCCATCTATATGTATTTATGTGGTTCTACAGTACTTACCTACCTGCAATAAAAACTTAGATTTCTGATAGCTGTACAGGATTCCATTTATGCTTTGTAATATATACACAAATTAGGCTAATGTATCATAAACCTAAAATGAGTGTATGCCTAAATATAAGGTAAGGATTTTAACTTCCTGAAGTCAGTTGTTAGAAAAAAGAAGATTCTCTTATATTTGAGTCCTTACACAGTATCTCATATTCTAAGACGCTCTTTCATTTACTTAATATTAAACAAAAAAGTATTTGAGAAAAATGCATTAGCTATGGAAAACAATATGGAGGTTCCTAAAAAATTATGAAGAGAGTAGAACGTTTATTTGTAAAGGTATATGTACCCCTATGTTCATTGCAGTATTATTCATTGTAGCATATTTCAACACATGGAAACAACTAAAGTGTCCTATAGATGATTGAATAAAGAAGATGTGGTACATATATACAATGTGATAATACTCAGCCATAAGAAAAGATGAAACACTGCCATTTGTAACCACATGGATTGATCTTGAGACTATCATACAAAGCAAAATAAGTCCGACAAAAAAAAGTCAAGAACCACATGATTTCACTCATATGTGAGATATAAAACTCAAAGTAACAAATGAACAAACAAAAACTCAGAGACACAGACAGCAGTATGGTGCTTACCAGAGAGAAAGCGGACTGGGGGAGAGGTAGTTAAGGGGGTCAAATATATGGTGACGCAAGGAGATCTGACTTTGGATGGTAAACACACAATGCAATATACAGATGATGTGTCACAGAATTGTACATGTGAAACCTATACATTTTCATTAACCAACTAGAGGTCTTGTGCATGAAATTTGTGCACTTGTGTGTGTGGGGGGGGGATGTCCTTCAGCCGGGCCTGGGCCCCAGCAGTTGGGGAATGTCTGACTGCTGCGGAGGCTCCCACCACTGCCACTGTGCTCGCCAGCCATGAGCCCGGCTTCTGGATGAGTGGCAGTCCCGCTGTGGGAGCGCACTGACCACCAGGGGGCAGCTCCTGCATTGAGCGTCTGCCTCCTGGTGGTCAGTGCACGTCATAGTGACTGATCATTCTGCCATTCAGACGATTTGCATATTAGCCTTTTATTATATAGACTAGAGGCCCGGTGCACAAAAATTTGTGCAATCAGGGGGAAGGGGGGGTCCCTCAGCCCGGCCTGTGCCCTCTTGCAGTCTGGGACCCCTCGGGAGAGAACGACCTGCTGGCTTAGGCCTGCTCCCGGGTGGCAGAGGGCAGGCCCAATCCCTAGGTGCAGCCCCTGGTCGGGCTCAGAGCAGGGCTGATTGGGGAGTTGGGGCGCTGCTCCCTGTCACACTGATCCCGGTGCCAGGAGGCCTCGAGGCTCCGCTGATCCTGGTGCTGGGAGGCATATTACCCTTTTACTATATAGGATAGAGGCCTGGTGCACGGGTGGGGCCGGCTGGTTTGCCCTGAAGGGTGTCCTGGATCAGGGTGGGGTCCCCACTGGGGTGCCTGGCCAGCCTGGGTGAGGGGATGATGGCTGTTTGCAGCTGGTCACACACCCTTCAGGGTGGGGGTCCCCACTGGGGTGCCTGGCCAGTCTGGGTGAGGGGCTGAGGGCTGTTTTCAGGCTGTGGGGTGACTGAAGCTCCCAACTGCTCCTTTTTTTCTTTTCTTTTTTTTATTCTGGGCCAGCTTTAGCTCTGAGGCTTGGCTCCAGCTCTTAGGCCTCCACTGCTGAAAGCAGGTATCTGGTCTGTTTGGATTCTATAATCGAAACACTGTTTCAACTCCAGCTCTGAGATCCCGGCTGGCTGAAAGCAGGTTTCTGGGGTTTTGTTTAGCTTCTATATTTGTAACAATGTTTCAAACTGCAAGCTCAGAGGCCGGCAGCGGCAGGCGGGGAACGTTGGAGTCCTCCGTCACTGAAGCAAGCAAGCCTCATGTTCGCTTCAAGCTGCCTGGCTGCCAGCCGCCATCTTGGCTGGCAGTTAATTTGCATATCGCCCTGATTAGCCAATGGGAAGGGTAGCGGATGTACGGCTAATTACCATGTTTCTCTTTTATTAGATAGGATGTCATCCCAACAAATTCAATTCAAAAAATGTTTTAAATCAATTTCATTAGAAGCTGGTTTTAGGACAGAAATACCTTAATAGAATAAAAATAAAAGTGGGGAAAAAAATCAACACATTAATTATTCCTAGGTTATAACCTTAAAATTAAAGTGTTGGATGTTGTTACAAAGACTTTCAAAACTGCTTTAAAAAAAGTAATCAAATAGCATTCTCTCAGAAAAAAACACAAGTTAACAGTTGCTACTTGAGGGGAAGCAACTGGATGGCTAAGGGACAAGACTGGGAGGGTGACCTATTTTTCACTGTTTACCAATTTGTACCCTTTACTTTTTAAACTCTGCGAATGTATTACTACTAAAAACAAAAGGGAGGGGATTAAATTCAGAAACAGAAACTATAGCCCCATAAAATGTTGTAAATCACAGATTAAAACTTGAGTAATTATGTTATCGAGATCATGAATACATAACTATAAGACACACATAAGAAAATAAAACAAAAAACTGCAGCCCCACTGTTTTGTAAATGGCACCTGTGGTCTACACATAAAATCTTCAATGTCAGATTATGCATGCATTCAACAACTGCTGTAACTTAAACAAAAGAGACAGAAATGAAGATGCACCCTGATTTTCATGCTAATTGGATGATGCAAAGAGGATAAAAACACCACAAAGATTCATGGATAGAGTTTGAGCAAGTTGGTTTTATAAAATATAAGCATGGATTAAAGCAATTCTTCTATATTATTGTACTGCTTCATAAAATGTGACTTGAATTATATATATGTAACTAAATTAAAAAATTAAAACTTTTACCATTTCATCAACCTCCCTAAAAGTTTATAAAGGGAGACCACCTTGTATTTGAGTTTACCTTATATTCAGGCATACATATTCAAGAGAACATTCTTATAAGAAAATGTGGTGAGCTGAATCAAGTAAATCTCCAGAGTATAAACTTATTTCACACACTTCACTTCTCTCCTCTGCTACATATGACCATCTTTTTGAGCAATTGTATATTAGGGAAATTTTATAACCAATCAACCCTCTTTTTTTTTGCAGATAATAATTTGAACATTATTATATGGATCCAAGTGTACTGTGTAAGTTTGATCACATTTAATTATGTTTCAGAAAATGTGGTTATTCTCTCTCAGACACTAAGATAAAGCTAGGCCTTTAATTGATGGAAGGTTCTAAAGCCATCATCCATCCATCATCCACAGCTTCATGAAGGCTTTGAGAGTACCTTAGCCAAACTATTGCTGTATACCAATTAAACTGCACAAGGGTTGTGCCTAACAAGTATCAGACACAAGTATCAGATATCGTACTGAAGGGAGAACAAGTTATACTCCAAAGACATATACTAGTAGTAGTGTATATCTTTTATCCATTTTCCTGAATAAGATAAGGCCAATAATGAAAAGAATTGGGAAATACTCAGAACCCAGAAAAATAAATAACAAGTAAGTGTTCTACAGAGAACCAGTTTTATTTCTTCTGGCTTTTAAAATTAAATTAAATATATTTGGGAATATAACACACATCAGAACTGAGGAAAGCACAGTAAATCCAGTTGAAATTCTTAACCCCGCACTTTTATTATGCATACTTAGTGTGTTTACAAATTTTAATAGTTTATATTTGCTAGTTTTATGTTTTAAGTATTAAGAATATGTTATATCATCTCTATTAATTTACGTTAAAAATTGGCAGTACAATGGGGCCTTGACTTACGAGTGTCCCGACTAACGAGTTTTTTGAGATACGAGCCGTCTCTCGGCCGATTTTTTGCTTTGAGTTCCGAGCTAAAATTCGGGTTACGAGCCAGCTTCAGATACCCCACTGCTAGTTGGCGCAGCGAACATCACAGTGAACACCACAACATCAGCCCAGCATCACGTGTCTCACACCCGTTCACTTTTTGATTTGACATTTGAGTAATTTGAGTTACGAGCTCCGTCACAGAACGAATTAAACTCGTAAGTCAAGGCCCCACTATATTGTGTTTTTGGAAACTCTGAGATGTCTCTGTAATCAATGAAAATTTTGTGAACAGATAACCAATTAATAGAAAATATTCATTTTGTATCCAATGATGAGCCAGCCAAAGACTGAAAATATGGCCATTATCTAACACTCATTAAAATAAAAATACTCAAATAAAACATTCTTGTTTTCTTAGTGATCATTAAGATAGCGCAAATTCTGCCAATTCTGAAATTAAGGTGCAAGACATTGGAGATGGGGAAATTGGGAGGAGAACCTATTTAATTCCACAAATCTATCTTCCCTGGAGAAAGCCACTTTCTAATACCATTCAGCACAGAAAGCCACTTTCCAATACCATTCTAGCATGAAATCTTCTGCTAGTGCTAAATGGTTGCATTTAAAGCTCATTTCCAAAGAGAATGCTGCTACTAAAGATAATGGGGAAATAATGGAAGAACTGGATGGAAAGTGAAATTCTGCCTATTACTCAAAACAAAGAAGTTCCCCTATGAGGTTCTCTCCTGTGTGACAAACTGCCAATGTAACTGGCAACAGCAACAACAAAATTACTACCAAAGAGAAATAATCTGGGCTCACAAAGTCTAAATCAAATCAAAATCCCCACTGCACATGCTGAAGAACTCACCATTCTTCCGTTCGTTCAAAGGGGGTAAGTACTGACTGGACTGCAAGGAGAGTTCCTGGAATTCGTGGGCAACAGCTTCACTTTGAGGACTTGGAGCAAGATGGGCTAAAGGTCCCAATTCATCCTCAGGGTCTAGTGCCCCTGTGTGATCCATTGTGTTCCAGCCACTGGCAACGGGGAGTCCGAGACACCTCTTAAATGTGGTCTGTTGAAGAGACTGTCAAAATAAAGAATGTGTAAGTATGTGGTACATTTATTTTTCTTCAATTTGCACAAAAGTATTAAAATGGGATCCCTTAGTACTAGTTCAGTTTCCCTGCTATACGGCAGTTGCCCCCTCTGGACCTCAGGTTCTTGTACAACACACAGGAACACTATGTTTCCCATCTAACAACTAGGTAAATAAAAGCTGCAAGTATTTGTATGATATTTTGGACAGTTTAAAGAAAAGTCACAGTTACTGGTGTCATTACTTAAAGATTTTAATGCAACCTAAAATGAGACAAAGTCAACTAAAGCTGATGAAAATAAAAAAGCGTCTGGCTTGAAAATCTATTTTAACTGCTACAAATTAACCTGATTGACAGAGAAATCAATAATCGAAGCACCAAAGACAAGATAAAAACCCTAAATATGTGACACTGGCTTAGGAACTGAGCGGTGGGCAGCAAAAACAAACTGTTGCTGAAAGCTAGAAGGATGGCAGTCCATATCATTCAGTGGCAAAACATTTGATAAAACTGTTGCCTGCTTAGTAGCGTTTCATACCACAGTTTGTTTATTAATTCATCTATAGGTGGACACTGAATTGTTTACAGTTTTTACCTATTAGAAAATAAAGATGCTATGAATATTCCTATACAAGTATTTTTTTTTTTTTTTTGAGAGAGAGAGAGAGAGTGGAAGGAAGGGATAAAGACAGAGAGAAACATTGATGTGAGGGACACCTCGACTGGTTGCCTCCTGCACACGCCCTGGTCAGGGCCGGGAATCGAGTTGCAACAGAGGTATGTGCCCTTGACCGAAACTGAACCCGGAAGGAACCCTTCAGTCCAAGGACTGATGCACTATCCACTGAGCCAAAACTGCTAGAGCTCTTGTACAAGCATTTATATGGATACATGCTTTCACTTCTCTTGGGCAAATACCTAGGAATGAAAGGGCTAAATCACATGGCAGCTGCATGTTCAGATGTTAAAGAAACTGACAACCTGTTTTTAAAGTGGTTGTGCCATTTTACATTCTTACCAGCAGTGAATGAGAGTTCTACTTTCTAACCAACACTTGATTATGATCAATCTTTTATTTTAGTTATTTTATTTTCATATTTAAAATTAGATGGTTTATTTTCTTGTCATTTTGAAAGTTCTTTTTATATCCTGAACAATAGTCCTTTATCAGCTATGTAATTTGCAAATATTTTCTCCAAGTCAATGCCTTATTTTACTATACTCTTAATAGTGTTTTGTAAAGAACAGATGCTTTGAATTTGATGAAGTCCAATTTTATCAATTTTTTCCTTTATAAAACATGTTTTTAGTGTTGAAGCTAGGAAATCTTTGATTAACCCAAGGTCACAAAGATTAGCTCGTGTTTTCTTTTAGATATTTTATAGTTTTTGTTTTACATTTAAGTCTATGATCCACTTTGGGTTAATTTTTATATATGTTGTGATATCTGAATCAAAGTTTTCTGGTTTTCTTTTTTGGCATAAGGACATCTGATTGTCTCAGCACCATTTGTTGAAAAGGTAATCTTTTCTTCACTAAACTGCCTTGGCACCTTTGTTGCAAGTCAACTGACCATGTATATGTGGATCGATTTCTCGACTCTATATTTAGTTTCCAGAAAGGAGAGAACCACAAAAGAGGAACCCCTAAATTCTGTGTATAAACTCTGCCCAAGCCTCTGGTTGACCCCTAAATTATGCACATACAGGGCAGGCTCCCAATAGCCCAACTAAGGCAAAAAGAATATAACCGAGATTTCATAGAAAAGACGGTGTTTGAAAAAGTGAATTCAGTAAAGTTAACTGTGTGTTAAAATATAGCAATACTCCTGAGAGGGAACTTTACAGAATCCAGAGTTTCTTATAACTACACATCCAGAATTCCACATCCAACAAAAATACCCTTTTTAAGTGAAGGCAAAACTGTCACCAGCAAACACATGCTACAAGTAATGCTAAAAGAATTTCTTCAGGCTGAAGGGCAGTGTTACCATATAGAAACTTGAATATTAGGAATGAAAAACATCAGAAACAGTAAACATGTAGATAAATACAAAAGATTATTTTTTTCCTCTTCATTTCTTTAATATTATGATTCAAATAAAATTATAGCACTGTTATGGGGTTTATAATGATATATATGTAGTATAGATTTGTTTTTGTTCCCCTATTTTTTTCTAACTCCTGGTTTGATTACTCGAATGTTCTTATATTTCAAAAGACTGTGTAAATTCATAGAATAGCAATATTTTAACTGAAAGGTATCTTAGAACCAAGGTCTAGTATAAGTGATTCTTAATCTTACTCACAATATCATAATCATTTGAGGAAAAAAAAAAATCCCTGATGGATTAGGGCAAGGAGGAGGATCTATAGAAATTTTGATACAATTGGTCTTGATAGAGTGATTCTAATGTGTAGCCAGGTTGAGATTCATTAATGTAAAACCCCCTCCCCCCATTTTATAGAGAATAAGTCATCTGCCCAATTAGTGGGAAGAGAAGTCAGTAGCAAACTATTAAACCATGTGTGAAAAATAACAGAATATAAGTAGGTATGAAGTGCTATAGGAACCTAAGAATTAAATGCCTAATTTTATTTGGGTAAACTAGGAAAGTCTTGAAGGGTAAATAGAAGTTGGTAGGGACGGAAATTTTTCTCATAGTGGTATGAACAGTTATCATCTAACAGCAACGGTTTGATGGGATCAGTGTAGAAAGGGCACGGCTTGTGGGGTGGAGGGAGCAGAAGGTAAGCTGGTGTGGTAAGTTAAAGCACAATTGTGAAGTAATATGGACTCTATATAATCAGGTTGGTATTTTAGAAAGGTAATTCTGGCAGAGGTAGGTAACTAGTAAAATCTCTTGCTAAAATGCTGAAGGACTAAGACGGTAGAAACGGAGAATAGGGAATAAATTCCAATTAACATTTAAGAGGCAAAATTTTAAGGCTTACTGACTGGCTAATTTGAAAAGGAAAATAAAGAATTGAGAGTAGTGGAGGCTTTTAGAAATGTGCAGTTGGAAAGCTGGAATGAGTAATAGGGAAGATGAAAGTAAATTGAGAATCTACAGGCCCCTTGGAGGGAGCTCTAAAAAAATGTGGCTAGAGATATAGGGATTTAATTTTGGGCAAGATACTTAACCTCTCAGGGACTCAGTTTCCTAATTTAAAAAATGAAAATGACAAGTGAAAATAAGAAAAGGGTAGAATATTTACTACATTTCTACTAAGCTTGGCACTAAGCCTCATCTTTGCTTGCCTTAATTTTTCCCTAATGACTCTCTGTGGGTAGGTATTATTCTCATTTCACAGATGAGAAAACTAAGGCTTGGAAACATTAAACAAATTTGAGAGATTAACATCAACTTTAGAGCCCATATTCTTTCACAATAACACAATATTTATGTGCCAAAAACGCCAATAAGTTGAAGCAAATAATTGGGAGAGACAGAAATATTTGGGGGAGAGGGGAGTCATGAGAAAGAGGAAGATAAAGCTGTGAAAAGATCCATTTATACAATTTCTTAACATCCACATTGAAGGCCCAGAGCATTAGGCACTGGAATGGGCACTGGGGTTCCACTGACAACTCAATCATATCCCTGTATCTCCTGGATGTCAAGACCATGTCAATTAGGTAATTATAACGTAACATTAGTGCTTCACAGGAGTTAGTAAAACATGCTTGCTTCGTGACAGATGAAGGAAACCTTTTCCTTGTTCCATTTTAGAAAATTCTCACAGTATAGCTATCTGGAATTAAACTCTGAAGCAGAAAAAAAATGAAATCTACAGTCATAGATGTACTGAATATAAAAGAACGTTTTTGACATCAGGTAAAAGTGTTTCAAATAAACAACTTCTAAGCAGGGGTTTTCTTTGTAGCAGCTGGATTTTTATATATCACCATAAAATACAGAGCAAAAATGTTATAAGAATACCAAATTCTGAGAATACACTATATAGAAAAAGTTACATAACTGTTCTATGCTTGAAGTGGCAGTTATAGTTCTAAAAATGCCAGTGAGATGATTTATTTTTTAACTTGTTTACTGTAGATTTGTTTCAAATTAACATAACATGGAACAAATTCCATACTTAACATCTTCAAAAATGATGCATTCTTAAGTACTACAATTAATACTTAAGTAAACACTATTTCTGAAATATTCATTGTGATCCATCCATAAATAAAAATTTGAATTAGCAAAATTTAAAACACATGTGGCTTTCAAATTGCCATATAAAAAGATATAAAGAACTAGAAAATTTTATTACTTCTCCAAGTAAAATGACCAAAAACCCAAGTCTTTTAATAGCTTGAACAATTGCATTTTCCAAATTTATTAAAAATGAATGATTCTCAGAGAGTAAGAACTGGTTGGAGAATTAATTTTAAGCTAAGATGATTTCCATATTTAGCAACTACTGGGTCAAAAAGGAACTCTAATTTTGTTGAACCACAAATTAGCATTTGATTTAAATGCTAAGAATATCTGTAAACATATTAAATGTTTTTAATATATATTAAAAATAATATATATATAAAAAATAAGTATATATATATATATATACATATACACACACACTAGAGGCCCGGTACACAAAAATTTGTGTACTCGGGGGGGGGGGGGGTCCCTCAGCCCGGCCTGTGACCTCTCACAGTCTGGGACCCCTCAGGGGATGACCACCTGCTGGCTTAGGCCTGCTCTCCAGGGGATTGGCAATCAGACATCCCTTTGGCAGCCCGGCAGCCCTCGGGGGATGTCCACTTGCCAGCGGGGAGCAGGCCTAAACTGCAGTCAGACATCCTTAGCACTGCTGAGGAGGCAGGAGAGGCTCCCACCACCACCGCTGTACTGGCAACCATCAGCTTGGCTTGTGGCTGAGCAGAGCTCCTCCCATGTGAGAGTGCCCTGACCACCAGAGGGCAGCTTCTGCATTGAGCGTCTGCCCCCTCGTGGTCAGTGTGTGTCATAGTGACC